TTGGGCAGCCCAACGGGCCTGTCTATACTTCGGACAAAATTTAATTACGTGGGCCGGGTCACCACAAAACATGCACTGACCCAAGTTCACGCGTTCCTACCATACGCCCTGGTCCAAGCCCAAATCTTCCCAGGGTCTGCCCTGTGGCAAGCCTGGGTGCCATCCTCCTTGAGGTGCCCTTCCACCTCGTCGTTGTGGGGACCGATTAGAACCTTGGTGATTTGGCGGGGGACCTTGACCCCTACCTCCCACTTGGCGGTTTCCCTGTCCGCCAACCCCCTGTGCGCCCGGTCCTCGGCCTCCCATGGCCTGGCCCCTTTGGCCCTGGCCTCCTCCTCTAACTGGTGGCCTCCCTTCAGCCGCAACAGCAGCATACGACCTCCCCTGTCCCACGCTACTGTCCTCTTCTTCTAGGCCCCACTCAATCTGACTATATGGGACCTCATCAGTACCACGTTCTTCTAAAGTAAGGATCATGTGATCCTTGGCCCTCACCTGGCCTGAGATGGTACGGCCTTTCCACTTCTTTTCCTTATCTAAGTCCCTGTGCCAGAAAGTGGTAACTGACATGGACTTCGACTCATACAGGACGACTTCTCTACTCAATGCATCATAAGTGATGCCGGTCTGTTGAGACTTATCAAAGAAATGCCCACGTAGGGCCTCTAGCATGATACGATAAAATAACTGAACCAACTGGGGCTCAGTGACCCCATGGTCTGGGACGGCTACCAAGTCGTCCATTGTACCCTTGAGTGCCCTTGGGGAGCTCCTCCACTATCGTGAGTGAATCGTTTGTAACTTATCAGAGGCCCTGACGCCTCTCGTTGGATCTCCAAATCGCTCCTTCAGGAGCTTAAAAAATTGGGGAAGGGGGGTGACTCTTGAATATGCAACCAGGTTGTTTTCACAACCGGCTGCGCGTGCAAGGGACCTGGCAAAACTAGCCGCCTCATCCTTAAGGGCCTGGAAGGCCACGAAGACTTGTTCCTCTGACAGGATGTGCTGTAGATATATGTAACTATTGACACTGGCCTCCCAGTTGTCAAAGTTCTCCTCCTTCTTTCCTCCGTATGCGTGGAAACTTGAGCTTTACAGGCTCTTCACGGGGTCTGCCCTCGCCCTCTACAGCAGCTATTGCTTTGGCACCCTCAATGGTGCCCTCACAGAACTTCCCTACGTTGTCCCTCAATTGCTGACTTCGCCCCCAATGTGGGTCACGATCTCGCGCGCAAAGTCTTTGAATCCCGACCGCATGGCACTCAGGGCTACCTCTTGGCTCCACCTCACTTGGCGCTCCTCCATCCATGCAGTGCTCAGCACCTCTAGGTAGCCCAACACCTTATCCCACTTGGCCTTGTCATCTGGCTGGGCCAACACTTCCTTCCTACACTCCTGCACCTTTGCCACCTTTGCGGTCAGTTTGTTCACTTCCTCTCTCCTCCTCTTCTTCTCCCTCTTCATCTCCTCCTCCAGCCTCTTCATCTTAGCCGCCTGCTCCTCTGCGATAGCCTTTAGATTCGCCTGCTTCTGGAGCTCCTTCCTCTCTTTATTCTCTCTCACTAGGGCGGCCATTTTCTCTTGCTGCTCCTGAGTGTAGGGGTTAGTATCCTTCCCAGTACGGGTCTCAACCATGGTGATAAGCGTACAACCGGGTTAGTGGTTCCAAACCTCACCACGTGGACTCCAACCCCTGACGGACAGTCCTACTGACTCAATCTAAGGACTCACAGAATCCTGACAAGGATCCTGCCAACTATGGTCTCTAGCCTAGACCTACACTATGGCTGTCACTACTAGACCTGTTACTGATCAGGAGGCATTTAAGGAGATCCCCCGAACTCCTAAGGAATTATTTAACGTCGCAGACAGGACGACGCGATCAGCAGGTCTCTCAAGACTTAGACGGTCTGTTGTACAGCCCACAACTCGGATTTCGAGGCCTACCGTGCCACACCGAGCAGCCCGCCGGTCAGTACCGGTCCTTGGGAGGACCTCCGGGACAGTCGAGTCATCAGACACAGCTTTTAGCCCTACTCATCCCGTGTGGGTTTGGTCAACAAGACCATATCCTTCATCCACAGAGTACTATCACCTAGGACAAAAGAGACTCGATGCAGAAAGAATAGACAGAAAGACTGGACTCAGCAAGTACCAAGGGGTGGGTGCACATCCATAGGGCGAGGGACAGGCTGAAGGCTTGGCGAGATGTTACTGACTCCAGCTTGGTCAAAGTCTTGGTCAACGCCTTGGTCAACGCCGGTCAACGCTGTGGTCAACTCCCGGTCAGACCCTGGTCAACTCCGGTCAACTTCGGTCAACACCTTCGGTCAACCCTCTCGGTCAACCCTCCGGTCAGCTATGGCTGCCGGCTCTTCTTCCTCGCCAACCCTCTTCTTCCCTTCACCTTCCTCGCCTCCTTTCACCCCGGCTGTCTTCTTTTTTTTTTTTTTTTTTTTTGATCAGCTCCTCCTTTGCCTCTCTCTGCTATGGCTTCCCTCACTTTGCTCGGTCTCTCCCCCTCTGTCCTCTCTTTCCCTCCTCCGTTACTCCGTGATGATGCTCCGCGGCTATGGCCGCTTCTTCT